CATTCCAGGGTTGGTGCTGTGGTCAGTGACATCTAGGATCAACCTTCTTTTGTCACCACCCCCCAATAAGACCTTTGAGCAGACTACAGTAAGCTGACGCTAACACATGCAAGGTAGTCCTTATACGTTTATATTTTTATAGACATAAAGCTACCATAGACAAAAGATGGGGGACAGCTGCCATAAACATCTCAACTTCTTATGTCTCCTTTTGCAAAGCAGATTTGCCTCCTAGCATTTCCACCAGAATCCCTTGCCAGATTCTATGGTTTATATATGATCCATTTAATGTATTTTCTATAAACCTGATATAAAGTTTTCCTAGTTGGAGGAAGTAATCACTTTCCATTAAGTTAAACAGTCCTGATCCACTGGAAGTTAAAATATCTGACAGAAAAATAGAAACAGTTGGCTTTGTGGTCTTCTGGGTGGAGACAGAATGTTGGTTGATTTCTGATCATTGTTGCTGACGAGGAGAGCTCATGATTTCTGCTCTGACTGGTCTGGCTCAAGATAGCCGTGGACATGAAAATATCTTAAAGGTGTCATTCCAAGTCCTTAAAAAAAATTAAACATATGAAGATGACAAAAGGAGTCTGTCATGAAGCCATTTCTAGATTATCAGATATTTGTAGGGGTTTTTTGTTTGTTTGTTTGTGTTTTGTTTTTGTTGTTTTTTTGCAAGGTAGCTTAAATTACAAATCTTACTTGTGTTTTTATCCTATAGTAAGAGTTGCAGAAATTCTTTGCAATCAGGGGAGTAAATAGAAAAAAATTGATTAAAGCCAACATAGACTCCTTACTACACACAAAGAACATCCTGGTGACAAAACTCCTCAAGGTTGCAGGGAGGCTATTTCCATTTCGTGGTTCTCTTTACGATTCAGTGGCCTCCCTCCCACTGTAGACCTGCTATGAAGTCTGCACGTGAACATTAAACCCAGATACTGAGCTTTCCTCCAGCTCCACCCCTCCCTTGGCTGGCTCTGTGGTGAGATCTAGGATTCAACTCTTAAGACATCTTAAAATTCCATCAAGCATTAGGAGATGGAATTGGATACTGGGCTGTCTTCCTCCTTTGGAGCAATCCGTGGAAGCATACCCAAAGGTATATGCCATGTGCGTTCTTTGGTGTTCAAAAGAATTAATGCCATAAATTAATTAAAATTAATGAAGATAGGTGCAAACCATATTAAAAAGAATGAAGATAGGTGCAAGCCATATTTCTAGGATGTAGTGTGCTCTTTTCTAAATTTAACCAAAGCAATAAAAGAGTTACATTTATTAAATTCCTTTCCCCCCCTTTCCCCATTTGCAATAGAAAACTAAGGCAAAATGAGTGCAATTTTTCAATAGTCATAATAAAAATAAAGTTCTAGACCTCTGTCCACTTTTCTTTCCCACTCACCAGTTTTGTGCCAAAAAAATTCCCATGTTTCGCCCCGGTATGGTGCAGCCTCAGTTGTCTTTGTGAAATAAGTGTGTGAATGGCGAGCAGCTATTCAGTATGTAGAGCCCTTAGTTGGCTGGTGCTCATAAAAATGTCACAGTGCACTTCCATTTTGAAAATTCCTTTTATCCTCCATTCCAGAAGCGCCATTCCAGGACTGAGCCTTCTTTCTTTCTTTTTTAAAAATATATTTTTATTGATTTTAGAGAGGAAGGGAGTGGGGGAGAGAGCTAAAACATCAATGATGAGAGAGAATCATTGCTCGGCTGCTTTCTGCACTACCCATACTGGGGATCAAGCCTGCAACTCAAGCATGTGCCCTTGACTGGAATCAAACTTAGGACCTTCCAGTGCGCAGTTCAATGCTCTCTATCCACTGAGTCAAACCAGCTAGGGTGGACTGGGCCTTCTTGTCCAAACTGCTGCTATTTGGCCTTCTCACCTTGTCAACAAGCCCCTAATGAAATGTATATGATGCCTGGCTGCTCTTGTGGGGCCACACAAGCTCAAAAGTCTTTTGGCTTATGTGGCAAACATGAAGCAATGTCAATATATACCTCAAGGTGCAAGCTGTGTCTATAAGAAGCTTCAGTGTCTTCTACATGAATGAAGAGGGCTGCATCTGAGGGGCGCCTAGTAGCTACTCTACTATGGAAATAAGATTCTTTGGGGACAGAAGCCTTCTGGGAAGTCTGCCCAGCCAGGACACAGGGCAGCTGAGAGTGGGTTTCCAACTTTCTTTCTAACAGGGAGGACTTTTCTTCTCTCAACCATATGCACACTTTTGTCACAGCAACCAAGTCCCTGGAAAGGTGAGGTTTATAGAGGTGAGTGCCATACGCCCTGCCCACACCATCTGCTTGGCAGCCAGGCTGTCCTGTGGAGAATGGCCAGTCAGAGCTATGGGAAGAAGAGAGAGAGCTCTCCGCTAAGTAGCCTATTGAGAATACTATCCATTTGAGCGTGTGAGAGCCACACTACCTCCAAAAGTTCAATGAGCTCCCACCCTCTGAGATCTAGTTATGGACCCAGTGCTGTAACTAACAACTCCCAAGCAGAAGAATTTCAAGGTCAGTGGAAAGAGACCTTGGTAAAACAACCATTTGTGTTGTGTTAAGGGCTGTTAGGGAAACAGTGCGAGGGACCATCCTTTTTAGGCTGAGTTGTGTCTAAGAGGTTTGAATAAGCCGCTTGCCTATCAGGAGCTTCAAGAGCTCAAACTAAACAAAGTTTCTGGGAATGTTCTGAACAGCTGATCACATTCCATCTGCCACAAGGTCTCTGTGAGTTCATGGCCTGGAAAATTCTGTTTCCCTCTGGATTTAGAAGAGGTTTCCAGATAGAATAGAAACACTGAGAAATGGAGTCATTACGGTTAGATCCAGGAGGCAGATTTCTAGCCTTCCTGAGTCCTATTAATTGATTAACCAGGAGAAGAAGGAATAAAGGAATACCTGTCGGCCTGTTTCAGAGTAATAGCCTCACTCCACACTTCGGGTCGTAATGAGAAGTGAGTCATTTGGGGACGGGTGAAGGGAATATCTGCCAAACAGCTTAGTGGCTTTCTGGAGTTTAAAATACTACGTGAGAAGAGAAGGTCACAGGGCAGCTGACCTCGGGCCTGTCTTTCTTTGGTCTGTCCATGGCTTTGGTCAGGATACATCCTCCTTTGTGGCCAGGACTCCACAGAGAATCCTGGGGTCATGGCCCGCTGCCTATCAAGAGGTGGGAACGTGCTGCCGAAATGGGTGACGCCCGAAGTTCAGGGGGTTGGGAGTCGAGGGGGGGTAGCTTCACATGTTCCACATTTCCCACATAACCCGGAGCAGACTAAACAAAACGGGTGTGAAATCTCGTGGCTGGATACTGCCGCGGTTATATTTTCTAAGCCGTAACCCATCCATGGGTAGGTTTCATCCCAGGATTTACAGCTCTCTCTCCAGTTTGAAGCCTTTTGCAAACGGTTTGCAGTAAGCAGAGAGCTTTGTGATTAAAGCCCAGGATGGAGTTCGTGTGAGTGTGTGTGTGTGTGTGAGTGTGTGTGTGTGTGTGTGTGTGTGTGTGAGTGTGAGTGTGTGTGTGTGTGTGTGTGTGTGTGCGCACATTCATGTGAAGTGAGTACCCGCTCACGTGGGCTTTCTTCCTCCCGTTTGCTGCTTTTACGCAAAAGCGTCACACATGGTAGCAGTTAGGAGCCCTTCACAGCTGAAGTGTTTCAAACACTAATGAATGGAAGTTTGGTCATATAATGCAGACAAGCTCTAAGGCATGCGTTACTGAATGGTGTACTGTGGTGACCTGGGGAAGGAAGAGAGGTATAAATTGTGTCAGTTAGCCACCCAGACAAAATGAAGCCATGTGGAAAATCAAATCTATTAAAGTATGAAGACTGTTCTAAGCTGTTTTAAGCTGGCCGTTCATAAAGGGGCTCGGCTTGCGGCCGGGGTAAATGTTTACCTCTTCTCCCAGATCTTTTTCACATGCTGTCGCAGGAGACAGTGTGCAGCGTTTGATAAAAATCATCCTCTCGCTAACGACGCTTTTATCAGCAATGTTTATTGTCTCCGCTTTACCACCCATGTCCTGAGAGGCACTGCACATTTGTAAAATAAGCAAAGGGAAAGGGAGCTGTGTGGCGCAAGCTGACTTGCTGAAACCTCAACAAATTCCATAACCACGAGCAATCAGGAGAGAGGAAAAAAAAAGGAAAGAGAAGGAGCAATTAGATTTATAGGAAGACGAGGCCCTGCAAAAACATACATATTAGATTTTCTCTGCTTGGCCAGCCCAGTGTTAAATGTTTGGTTGGTGTGGATCTAGCATTGAGAGTGAGCAGTGATGCCAAATTTCGGTCATTGTCTTAAAACGGAGTTTCGTGCACCGAGGAACCCCGTTTAGAGAGGACGTGAGGAGGCGGCGCCTGCAGCCTGAGCTCAGGCTCCCGCCTTCACTCACGCTAACACTGCGTGGTCTCGGGTGCTTCGTGGTCACACACAGGTTCCGACGCCCATCCGACAGCTCTCATCCTGGCCCTACTCACCATGTAACTTTGGGTACATTGCCTTGGTTTTCTCACCTGTACAATGAGGATAATAGCAAAGGGTCCCAAAAGCATCTAGGAGTCACCCTAAAAGCCTCAGCTATTATGACCAATATGCCTAAGTAAGGATCTCCTGGACTCTCTTTTTCTTGCTTGCACGCGGGTTTTGAAAACTGATGGTGTGGGGGGAAAAATTCACCCATTTCTTTTTTACCCTCATTGGTGAGGAAGCTTACACTGGCCTGACAATCTCTGGGCAGCAAACAATTGAATTTGCTGACCAGCCACCTTGATGTCAAACCTTAAGTCAACAGGGGCTCATGACTGCTCTGGGGAAAAACAACACCTCGGTTCCTTAATTACCAATTTAGAAGCCCTGGGAATGCGGAGCCTGCCCATTCGCCGCATCCTCTAGTGAAGGGGGCACAGGGTGCTGTGGGCACGGGTACCCTCTGACCCGGGTCAGAGCAGCCCCCGCGGTCTCATGCTTGTGGCCTTTGTGTGTTCCAGGAGGAGACTGAAGAGACATCCTCACAAGAGTCTGCAGAAGAGGACTAGGGGGTGCCCACGTTTGATTTCTACCTCAGCAGCAGTTGGATCTTTTGAAGGGAGAAGACACTGCAGTGACCACTTACTTTCTGTTGCCATGGTCTTTCCACTTCCATCTGGGGCGGGGCAGGGGGGTGGGGGAGGGGCGGGGCTGGGGGAGGAGAAATCACATAACCTTAAAAAGGACTATATTAATCACCTTCTTTGTAATCCCTTCACAGTCCCAGGTTTTAGTGAAAAAAACTGCTGTAAACACAGGGGACACCATTTAACAATGCAACTTTTAATTACTGTTTTCTTTTCTCTTAGCCTACTAATAGTTCCTTGATCTGATAAGCAGGAGTGGGTGGGTGAGGCAAACTCCGAATCAGGTTTAGTCGATCACTGCACTGCACACAGACCAGAATCCTGTCACCCCCGTGACGCCGGGCATTCATTCACGTAGGAAAGGTGCCGTGTGTGACGCTGCGGCCCCCAACGCCACCCACCCCACTCACGTAGTGAGGCTTCTGTTTAGAACCAAAGATAGGAATAGATAACGACTTCTCTCTCCCTTTCGTATAATCTTGTAGACACTTGATGATTTTTTTTTTACTCTTTTATTTCTAAACCAGACGAAATGCTGATGTGTCCTTTCATTCAGCTAACAGACCAGAAAAGGCTATGCTCATTTTTTTTTCAAAAAGGGAAGTAAGCACACGAGTGTTGCCAGCTCCCATATGTGTGGCTATCACACATCAGTAGGGGAGCCCATTGCCCCTGTCACGCTCTTTCAGGAGAAACACTCATCCGGGCAGGATCTGCTTCCCACAGAGCCAAAAGCCATTCGGCAATCCATCACACTTGTCAGCCTCCAAGCGCTGAAGGAACCTAGACAAGTAAAACCGTCTTCTTTGTAATTTAATGAAAAGGTACAATAATAATGCATGATGAACTCACCTGAATGATGAGGTAGGAGCGAAATCTAAATTTCCTTTGCTATAGTTACGCTACAATTTTAAAAAAGCAAACAAAAAAAAAGCAATCTCTCTCTCTCTGCCTCTTTTCATTGTGTATCACTTTCCGTGAAAGACCTGTATACCACTTACCTCAAACTAAGTTTATGTGTGTTACTTCAGGTAACACGTTTTGACATAGGATGGTTGACTGAGGTGTTTCTCTTTGGCTTCAGCTCACCGTCTCTTCATTCAAACTGCACTTTTAGCCAGAGATGCAATATATCCCCACTACTCAATACTACCTCTGAACGTTACACTTAATTTACAGTCTAGTACTTTTTACATGCTGCTATACACAAACAATGCAAGAAATACAAACTTCATGGGCAGGTGATGCTAACCGCGGTTCTTTGTGTACACTTAAACCACAGTTAACAAAGCAGTCTCCTTACTGTGTTTCAGCATGGCTATGTATTTTTCTATGGTTTTTTTTTTTTTATTAAAATTTTGCAAATACTTGTTTCAGCTTCTCTGCTAGATTTCTACATTAACTTGAATAGTTTTGTTGTTGTTTTTAACCAAGTCGCTCCTAGGTTCTTAAGGATCATTCTCCTCAATCGCGCACTACACAGTACACAGAATTTGACTGTAATGTTTAAATATCACCCTCCAAGTTTGTACCTCCGATGAATTGTTTAAGGAAATGGACTCACTGACTTGCAAAGACCTACCTCCAGACTTCAAAAGGAATGAACTTGTTACTTGCAGCCTTCATTTTTGTCAACGTTTGACATAGTTCAAACTGCAGCTATCCCTAGTCAAAGCTATTTTTGTAAAAAAAAAAAAAAATGTTTGCTAGAGAGGAACACATTTTTACATACTTTTGCAAATAAATAAATAAAAGGAAGCCAACCTTCAAAGAAACTTGAAGCTTTGTAGGTGAGAGACAAAAAGCTTGGGCTTTTGCGATGCAATCAAAAATGATGTGTTTTTAAGATTAGTGGAATATGAGGAAATGCTTGACAAAGATTTTCATGTACTTTACACAAATGTGATTTTTGTAATATGTCTCAACCAGATTTATTTGAAGCGCTTCTTATGTAGAGTTTTATTCTTTTCTCTCCTAGTGCGTGTGCTGACTCTTTAACATGGTATTATCAACTGGGCCAGGAGGTAGTTTCTCATGAGGGCATGTGTCAGTGTGGCTTTTAGTTTTGAAGCCAAATGAAACCCAAAACGATCTCTCTTCCAGCCACTTCAGGGAGGTAGCTTCAAAGACCGCATACCTCTCTTGGACAGGCAGATGGCTCACTGCGGTGAATCACCAGAGGAGCTATGGAGAGAATGAAAACTCAACATCACTGTTAACTGTGCATTAAATAAGCAAATAAACAGTGGCTCATAAAAGTAACAGTCCCGTGTCTTTGGCTGGGCCTTTCTGAAACCTCATTGGCCAGCTCATAAAACTGACACAGTTGCTCATGTTGGCCAAACTCGGAAACCGAGCAATTTCCATCTCTGGTGAAGTTACTCTTTTATTTCCTCTATGTTGTACAATCAAAACACACTGCTACCTCTTAAGCCCCAGTATACCTCATTTTTCATACTGAAAAGAAAAGAAAAAAGCTTGTGGCCAATGGAACAGTAAGAACATCATAAAATTTTTATATATATAGTTTATTTTTGTGGGAGATAAATTTTATAGGACTGTTCTTTGCTGTTGTTGGTCTCAGCTAAGTAAGACTGGACATTTAACTTTTCTGCCATTTCTGCATGTTTGCAGGAGAAAAGTATCAAGACGTTGAACTGCAGTTGACTTTCTCCCTGTTCCTTTGAGTGTCTTCTAACTTTATTCTTTGTTCTTCATGTAGAGTTGCTGTCTATGATTGTACTTTGAATCGCTTGCTTGTTGGAAATATTTCTCTAGTGGATTATCACTGTCTGTTCTGCACAATAAACATAACAGCCTCTGTGATCCCCATGTGTTTTGGTTCCTACTCTTTGTCACAGCTCCATTAAGTAAATTTTAGTCAAAGCAGGTCAAGGAGAGAGGCAGTCCCTTTGGAAGTCATCATGTCACCCTTCTGCCTATTGTGCGTCCAGACTTCTACACACACTGACAGAAAGCCTTCAAGTATCACACTTCTTCAATCGCTGCCCTGAATTCATCTTTTGTGGCCTGACATTTCATTCTACAAAGATGACCTTCAAAGAAAATGTAAAAAAAATAATAGTTTAAAACTAGAGAATTTCTAATGAAGGCTGGCATTGACAGTGAAGTAACTGACATACCAGTTATCTTTCAAGTAACATTTGCAGAGATATCCAACCATTTGGAGAAAAGAATAAGGAATTGAAAGGCACTACTACATAGAAGTATTTCATTTCACAAATACCATAAGTAGGGGCGGGATTAGCCCACCACATTCCAAATCACTTTGACATCTCAATCACTGATGATGGATGAGAAAATCCAGGATTCTCAAGAGACTAAAATCTCATAGTTAGTGCTACTACCATTGTCATGAAAACTTCTGCATTTAGCCTCTTAGAAGGACTTGCCCATAAACATCTCCTGTCAGGAAATCTATTGTCAGGTTTTACTCCACTCCTTTCTTCATTTATTTTCACAGCAAATATTTTGTGAGTGCCTACTTTGTGCTGAGCTCTAGACCACGAGGCCCTTTAAAAAATTGTCTCCTTGGAGAAAATTATGCAAGTGTAGAAATACAGGCAGCATTTGAAAAGAACCAACTATATTGCTTATGCAACAAGTTTCAAGAATTCAGAGGAGGGAAAGCCATTTCCTGCTGTGAGGGAGACAGGCCAAATGCATTTAATAGAACCCGCATTTAGTCTTTTTATTTTTATTAATATAGAAAAGCATATAAGGAGAAATTACTTCCTGAAAATGAAAATAAACCCAGAGAGAATCTTTGGATTGAAAAAGAAAGAATAAAAAAGGATACGTCCAGAATAGGATGTGTCGGTGAATAGGATAAAAGTTTTAGCACATTTTGGAGTCGGTTACTCACTAAGCAATATCTGAATTAGGCTTTCTAGAAAAATTAAACTGGTGCTTTCACACAATAAGCAGTACACTAAACAAAAATTACTGTGAGAAGAAACCTTTTAAGTTTAAACCTAAGTTCAAATAGCAGTGGGGCTTCTAGTTTGTACAGGATATTGTTTGGGACAATAAAAGTCAATGAGACTTCATCCCCACCCACAAAGCCAAACTTTTCAGGAGGGAGGTGGACCCAGGGAGAGCTGTGTAAATAGAACCTTACTGCAAGTGGTTGGAGGCACCCCCAACTCCGTGAGTACCGAGGAGAAATTGCAGGCCCTCCCACAAAAGGACTTTAGCGCCCCATCACAGAGGACCCTGAGGCTGCATGGGCAGTGAGTTTCAGCCTACATAGCATTTCATATGAGCGATTGCTTTTCAGTAGGGCTAGGGGCACTTGACTCTTGTGAATTCAAGAATGCTAAGTGGTCTAGAAGCACGGGCAGTAAAAAAACCACAACTAAAGAATAACATTCCAGTCAGTGAGACATGATGCAAATTCAAGACTGTAGATTAAGGAATGAAACTTCAGGGAAGTGAAAGAAAGAAGACGACTAGACGGGCAGAAGGAATGTACTTTATATCAAGTGTATTTTTTTTACATATAATGACTTGTTAACCCAATATTTTTCTATTGATTTTTAGGGAGAATGCAAAGGAGGGGGAGAGACACAGAGAGAAACATTGATATGAGAGACACATCAATTGGTTGCCTCCTGCACGTACCCTGACCAGGGTCAGGGATTGAGCCTGCAACTGAGGTATATGCCCTTGACCAGAATCAAACCCAGGACCCCTCAGTCCTTGGGCTTTATCCACTGAGCCAAACTGGCTAGAGCTATACATGATTACTTTTTACTGAGCAAGTGTAATTCTTAAAGTTAGGTAATGTCATCCTTGAGCAATTACTGTTCAAAGTCCAGGGACACTGGGAAAGACCTCCCATTATACCGTCTGATGTAAAAGGTGTGGACTCCAAAACTAGACTACCTAGGATTGAATCC